AAGAGAGAGAGAGAGAGAGAGAACTTTAATATTTATTTTTTAGTTTTCGGCAGACACGACATCTTTGTTTGTATGTGGTGCTAAGGATCGAACCCGGGCCACACGCATGCCTTGTGAGCGTGCGCTACCGCTTGAGCCACATCCCCAGCCCCAAAATTTTCTTTTAACATAAAAATTTAAGTGGTTAAGTATTTAAAAGTAGTTATCTTTTCCTAGCATTTTCAGTTGTGTCAAATAATATATGGTATCTTTATTTAGAAAATGTGAGTGTGCTAAGGGAATCTTTACATTTTAATTAGAGTAGCCTTTTATGTAATTTTTTTCTGTGTAATTGGGCTTTATTTTATTAATTGTCAAGATGATGACAAACCAGAATTAAATTCCTAACCACACCTCAATTGTGTTTGTGTAGCTATAGTGAGCCTTAGATGTGTTCTGAATATTTTTAGATGGCTGAATATTAACGAAGGTGGACTTAGATCCCCTTTATCCTGTCCAATGTAGGTTTGATCTCCTTTTTGCTGCTTTATTTTATTCTGGGAAACAATTGGGGAAAGTACAGAAGATTGGTTACTACTAAGCTCTGGTTCATATTTGGACTCTGGTTTGTCCTTACTCTACTGGTTGTCTTAAGTTTCATTCATCTGTAAAATAGAGGTAGCCATATGTTCTTCATAGGTTTGCTAACGTAAAAATAAAATGACATAATTCTTTTTATTTTTATGAAGTCAATTACAAATTTTACATTGTTACAGCTTTAGTGGTTCTCATATACATGGCCTTGATTTAACATTTTAGCTGTAATTAGGTGCTGACCTAATAACAGAATTCCAGGAATTACCCAACAAAATTGTTCAAAACTGAAAACTTGCATCAATCAGACAGGAATGTTTCAAATTGTAGCATGACATACATTACTAGACTAGAAATTGAATTGTGTGTGTGTTGTGTGTGTGTTTAAGAGCAGAGAGAAATTGAATTTTAATTCTTATCTTTAATTTATTTGCTGTATAAAAGTCTTCCTAAGAATATTTTCACTTGATCTTGTACTGTCAGTTACTTGCTTTTTAAAAATCTTTCAAAGGTTTGGATTTAGCATGCTATTTGCTTTTATGGGTTAATTGCATTGGTAATTGCTTTCAGAAGATGCTTTTGCTTTATATTCTCTGATCATTTAAAAGCATGGCAATACCTTTTTTGTAATATTCATGTAATGTATATCATACAATGAAAGATGCTAAGGACATATTTTATTAACAAATATTTAAGAGATTTCAGTGTGGTAGACAGTATGGTGCAGAGGAAACAGGTGTGAAGGTGGTTTGCATTGTCCCTGCCCATTAGGCTCACCAGCTAGGAAAGGTGACACATGCATTGAATGTTTCATTGGAACAGTCCAGTGGTTGTAGGATTAGTATAAAAGGAAATGAGTATTCCATCTAATCTGAAAGGGAAGGCCAAGGCCCAAAACAATGGGGATAGAAGGAATAGTCTTTCATGGTAGGTTCCAGAGACTGAAAATTTAGTGTTGAACATAAAAACAGTAGGAGAGAAACTTAAAGCAAAGTTGGAAACATTGAGACCATATTTTAATGTACATTTTAGGATTCTAGATTATTTTTAGATTGTGGACTTCATCTTGAGGATAAAAGAGTCAGTAAATTATTATAAGTAGGGTGTTAAGAACATCACTACTTGTAGATGGTGGGAGACCTCTTGAGTTAGGGAACTCTTAAAATTACAATAAGATTTGATGGGAGTTTGGACTAGAGTGGTATGAGTGGGAATGGAAAGAGAATCAATTTGAGACAATAGTTTTTGAGGGAATTGACAGTATTCACTGGATGTTTGTAGGTGGGTGGAGAGTAAAGTTTCAAAGATGATCCTGAGTTTCAGATATGAAGCTTTGGTGTGGTGTTATGGAAATCCTATTTACAGAGAGATAGAATTATAGAGAAAGATCAGGCCATGAATTTAATTTTGGATAAGATAAGTCAAAGGGTACTACTTTTTCTCTATTTACATCTGTTATTTTAATTCTTGCCTTGATAGTTTGAGATAGCACAGGAATAGCTTCATATGCTTTACTTGGACCTTTGTTTTATTGTACTTTGCCATTTTTTCTTTCCACTCTATAAATACCTAAGTGTTATGACACCATAATAGTAACTATAGCTCACTGTATTGATAATTCTTCAGTGAGGTAGGTGAGAATCAATAGAAAAGGCAAATAGAATTATATGTTTATTTATATAATGTTATCTATTTTAACCTACCCTAAAGTTTGAGTATCACTGATCTGAATTATCAGACTTTCTCTGCAAAAGGCCAGGTACTAAATATTTATAGGCTTTATGGACCATAGCGTTGTGTGGCAACTGCTCAGCTCTGCCAAGAAAGCAGCCATAGGCATGTAAACAACTGGGTATGGCTATATTCCAGTAAAACTTTATTTACAGAACCCAGCAGCAAGCACATTTGGCTCAAAGTCTGTAGTTTGCAGACTCTGGTCTAGACTCTAGATAAATGTGGTAGTTGTTACCAGGATGAATGATGACATATAATGAAAATAGAGGAACAAGAGGTCAAGCTGAATAGTTTTAAGTACTGGTTTACTTTTTAAACCTTTGATGATTTTTCTTTCTTTTCCCCTTCATCTTTTGTCACCTTAATTTTTCTCTATAGGGAAATAGTTCATCTTTGTTTTAGTTTAAGAGATGTATTCTCATTTTAAAAGATTTCAAATGTCACAAAAATCAGTGGAACAGAAAATAAGCCCCAGGGATCCATCCCCTCCTTGACTCAAAGATAATTACTGTTAACATTTTGATGATTTTTTTCTGTGTATCATTAATATTATTTTCACCATTGGTTTTTAAATCAGTTTAAAAGTATATATTTTTTAAATATTTAATCTGATTATATCTTTTAAGTTTTCCAAATTATGAGATTTTAACTTAATTCTCTCATTTCTTTAAAGGTTGTTTTGGAAACAGAAATAACAAATAAGTCTGCTTTGAAACTTTATGAAAATCTTGGTTTTGTTCGAGATAAGAGGCTGTTCAGATACTATTTAAATGGAGTTGATGCACTGCGACTTAAACTGTGGCTGCGTTGAGAAATTGACATCGAGGAACAACTTCCAACAACAGAATCGACATTTGCATGCAATGCAATTTGTACAGAATTGCTTTGCAGGTGGATTTAGTAATTTCCATGCAGCTCTTACCTGTCAGTGTCTCATTGAGTGTCGCACAATATTTGTTGCACTTTGGCATGGCGCATTTGTTCTGAATTAAAAGAGATTGTTTTAAACTTCAAGAGTTCTTTTGGTACCAACAAGATGTGCCAGTTGATAGCCAAGATTTGTTCATTTTCAGAGTCTGCTGACAATGTTATTTGCATAGTGATCATTTTATCACAGAACCAGTAAATGGAACATGATTTTTGTTCCTTTAAAAAGCCAAGGTAGATTGTAAAAGTCTCTAAGTATACTAACATTTCACACAAAACCTGCCATAGTTTTCTGAAAGGGGTGAGGGAAAAGCTTCAATTTTAGGTTTTATTTTTTCAATATTAAATTTTCCATTCTTGAATATTGGTACCTCAGTGATTAGTGAATGAAAAAAAAATGTAGGATGGGGTATTGTTTTACAATAAGTAAAGATAACAATTAAATTGCGTCTGCCAGTGCCTGTGTAGATAAGTATATTTGTCTTCATCTCTAGGTTTTTAATGCATGCTGTCTTTTCCTTTTCTTTAAGGCTTTTACAAGAAAACTTTGTTTTTATTTAAATTCTAAATTTGATAATAAATTATTTCAGATTTTTATAATTTGGATACTTTTTCCAGGTGAGTGACAGAGTGGTTTGCTTTAGAAGTCCCTTCTTTCTTTACAGTAAGAAGTTGAAATCTTTTTGGAAAACCTTAGAGGAATGGCTCAAAAGGGATGAGAAAAGTTGAGAGAGCAGGGAATTGCTGGGTTTTGGATGCACTTTTTTGTTTTGTTTTGCTTTATTTTTTTGGAGAGGGAATTTTTGGAAAAGAACAGAAAATTAATGTAAATTGGTGTGATTTTATTTAATCAAAATTATTGCTAAGCTGTGAAGAACAGCTTTTATATAGTAGCTGGAATTTTTTTCCCACTTGGATTCACGTTGCTTTTGTTTCTTAAAATGCTTCACTTTTGATTCTTCATCTTGGAAATAAATTTCAAGGTGCATTGTATCCATTTTAAGCTGCTTTTATTTTCTTTTCACTTGTCTGAGCAGATTGTCGGGGGAGCTTTGCTTTGTTCCTCCAGAAACACAAAAGGGAGAAATGAAAATCTTTTTTTAATGAGTTCTTTGGGTTTTCTGAACAGCTACCATGTTTATTAATTACATTGTGTTTTGGTTAATCAGTGCAATGTAACGAATTTTCAAGTTAATTGCTTTCAGTTGAGTCGGTAAATCTGTGATGGATAATTTATTTAACTGGAAAACCTAGGTACCCATAAGAAAAAAAAAGATTCATTCTCTGTGAAAACTCTTTTGTAGGAATCTATGTTGTCATTTTCATTTGGATATACTTTTGCTCTAGGATTTGGGTTGAATATTTTATGAGTATAATTACTGTATTTTTAAAACCCTACCTCCATTAACAGTTGGTAAAGGCCCCTTTTCAGGAAAGTTTGTTGCTTTTTTTTTTTTTTTTTTTTTTTTAAGGAAAGCTGCTCTTTGCTCAGTATAGTGTTTTCAAAGTGAACATGATTACAACGACTTTTAAAATAAAGATAAACAATTTATATTTGATGAAAACTAAAGTTCCTCCTGGTGGGATCATTTATAATTCCTTATTTTAAAGAAAACATTTCCATTTTACATTTTATTTAAAAGCTTAATGTTAATGGGCAGAATATTGGTTCTATCAACATTTCACGACCATAGTATTCAGCTTTTCAGCTGACCATTTTGAGTCTGTTTGTGATCAAACTTCATTTGGGTTCTAGCATTTAGAAGAATGCCAGTCATATCGATGCTTCTGTTATTATTTTTTAATAAGAAGGAAACTAGCTGAAACAGTGTTACATGTGTCATCAAGTTATATTTCATAGCCTTATATTTGGTTCTTAGGTAATGATTGTTGTTGAACGTACATTTGATTGACTCAAATAATGGGGACAGTTGTAAAGTAGATACATGCTAATTATCAGTTCAACCATTTTTTTAATGTTTTTGCCAGAATGTTAAGGAAACCCTAACTACTGACCTTTAACCCCAGAATTGCTGAATTAATAACTAAATTGATTGCTTGGGCATTTGTAAACATGACCTTAACCATGTGACTAAAAAGTGAAATGGATGCCATATTGTTCAGCTGGTGTATGTTTAATATCGGTGTACCTTATGTCTTTAATTAGGTGTGCAAAAATTGTTCACCTAAAATTTTAATCTCTAGCATGATAATCCAGCACCAAAATTAAAAGACTCTCTTCCAGTTGAAATAGCATCAAACATTCACTTACTTTGATAACACACTTACATTTTTCTCATATCAGCTTGAAACAGTTCCATTTATAATTGATAGAGTGGGTTCACTTGGCTAAAAACTGAGCAAAATTGGTGCAACTTTCTTTTAATGGGGTGCTGCCTCTTTAAGACTGACTGTACTTTATCCACTGACACTGGTTTAGCAGTTGGTACTGCTGAACATTTTTATACATGCTACCATGAAGCTATATATGTTAGTGTTAAAGAAGCTAACGGGTATACTATCATTTTTGGTATGTGGGCTATTATTTCCCTTACCTTGGGATGAAGCTACTTACTCTAGAGAAGTCCACAGATCAGAAACCAGACAGTAGTTTTTGAAGTTGAAGCCAGCAAAATAAGAAAAAAGTACTATTAAAAAATTGGTTTTGATATTTTCTGCCTCTCTCTTCTCCAAATTACCCTCCCCCCTTGCTCGACAAATCTGTGTAAAGGAGTTTGTTTGTCACGTTTCAACTTTACCTTGCCCTGTGTTATGATGTTGGCTGACATGTATAAGACTGGATGTGTATATTTATTATGGTGTCTAAAAAATCATGAAGTTCATCACTTTGGAGGAGCGTAGATAAAATCAAATTAGTAGCGCATCAGAGTTATTTTTCAGTGCACCATGACATCATTAAAATGAGTGCTATAATGTTACAGGGCTTTCAGGTTTGTAAAAACATAACCATAAATTATATTGACGTCAGATATGAGTTGAGTATCTATAAAATATCACGTGTATCTCAAAATATTGGACTGCTGTTTGATGACTGGATATTGCTGCATAATTTTCTCTTATTGTCCCATATTCTTTTGGAGAGAGAGATTTAATGGGATTTGAAATGTGCAAGCTGTCTAAATAAGATGCAGTCAAATAAAGTATGGTTAAGTTGTGTTTGCATTTTTCTTTAAGATACAGCTGTGTGCATTTGTGATTTTTTTTTTTTTTTGGTTTGTTTTTTGCTTTTACTCAGAGAAACAAGAAGCAATCTATAATGTTCCCACTTCCTGCCTCCCATCCAAGAGTTATTTGGAAGCAGTAATAAACAGTTGTGTTTGTTCTACTTTGTGTTCTGACAAAGTAAATTTGAAAGTAACATGAACTTGATTTTTATAAAAGTACTCAGTTCATATGTCAGATATCAGTACACATGAGAGTTTTTTGCGTGCATTAAACTGAAAATTATTATTCTGAGAATAAAGTTAGCAGTTTATTTCTGAGAATTTTTATTTTGGTTTACTATTTTTTGTATAGTGCCTCCTTGTGTTAGTAATATTTTTCCCTTTTGCTAAGACACAAAGGTAAAATAGAGCACTATTTTAATAGAGCACTGAGGTAGAAAAGGGCTTTTTGCCCTATTGTGGAAACTTTAAATTAGTAGTTTTGCATGCTTTCATAATTTCAAGATTTTTGGATATTAGTAGGATTAGATGATCTGTTTTCGTCATATGACTCCTACATTTTTATTGTGCATGACAAGTATTCATTTGTTCTTTATGGTAATGTGAAAATATCTAATTCATGATTTACTTGGGTCTTATGTGAACTCAAAATACTTTATAAATATTCACTCTTAAACACCAATTGATGCAGTTGGTTTATACCTTGACTCAGATTAGGTTTAACCTGTAGCCAGAGGTATAGTGATGAATAGGGGTTAAAAAAAAAATCTCATGAGCATATAGAGCAGCTGCACTTTTTTCAGATCAGTTCTCTGAAGATGGAAATGCTCCTTGCACTCTTCAGTATGGTAGCCACTAGTCACAAATAGCTACTGAGCCCTTAATTGTGACTACTGTGAATGAAGTACTGAATTTTTAATTTTATTAATTGAAATTAGTCACATGTGGTCAGTGGCAACTGTATTGGTCAGCACAGCTTTAGATAATATGTAAGTAATAACAGAAAAGCATATTTTACACTTTCTAATTTATTAAAATATGAAATAAAAAGATCACAAATTGCCTCTGGGCAAAAGAACACACTGCCCACGGATGATGTGGTTTTCTGAGAAATGCAGCTCTTTCGTTTTGTTCTTAGAACTTTAAGTTGCAGAGATGCACAGATTCAAGTGTCAAAAATTGGTTTCTGATGAGACTCTCCTATCCTTTTAGCCTTACAGCATGATTTGTAGTTAGGCCTAACAGTTTCTCATTTTAGATGAATTTAAAAATCATTTCATTTCTAAATGAAATTGATCTTTATATTTCACCAGTGGTCTACTTGGAACATGGAGGTTTGTAACATTTACACTTTTAAATTCTGAAAAATCACTTATGGTCATGAGGCCAAAGGCTGCATTTTTGTTTCTGAGCAAACCAGATTAAGCAAAGTATTACCCTAACCCTAGCTGGTCATCTGGTAATTTGTAATTAGTCAAAAGGCAGGAGGAGTGGGGGTGGTAAATACCTGGCCAAAGAGGGCCTGGCTTAGCACAGCTTGTTATGAGATCAAAACCCCTGTTGATAGCAACTCAGTGTTGTAATCTTCATGAGAGAAAGACTAGAAATAAAGACCATGGATGTGCCAAAACTTAATCTAATAATTTATACAATGCAGGGGTTATAATGAGGTTTCAGTCTAATTATAATTGAGGTTTTTATAAAACTGAAAAATAAGCTTTAGTTATTTTCATGAATACCTAATTGCTGTATGAATATTTATCAATTTTCTTAACACCTCAGTTTGCCGAGATTATGTACAATTTGGTAAATAACTTAACCATATGGATTCAGACCTGGCTTTTAAAGATTGTATAAAGACATTTGTTACTGGATTTGTTACATAGTGAATTGATTTGAAATTTCTTAGAAACATTTATAAACTTTTCTAGTTCCCTTGACATGTAGGGTTTTTTAGTAAACACTCTTATTTAGTGAGATTTGTATTTCAGAAAGTGTGTACCCTCATTTGTTCACTTACAACTGCAAAGTTTGTATGTCTCCTGTTTTCCTTTCATACCAAAGAAACCCTTTTTAAAAGCCAGCAGGTTTAATGAACTGAAAAACATGTTTTGCCCCTTAAATAGGCATTCTTAAGTTTTATTTTCTGGAGTTTAAATATTTTAAAGTTAAAGCCAGTAGTAATCACTTATAAGAATGCATGTATTTTTTAATTTTAGAAATCTAATTCCACTTTAAAAAAAGATTGATGTTTTTAAGGAACTGCTGCATTAAAATGCACAGATGTATGAAACTTCTTAAAAGTTATAAATATAATTGCTAAATTGGTTTATTTATATTTACTATTCAATTCCCTAATATATGTAGGGGATTGATCATTATCATCTGTAGGGCCAGATTTCCCATCATTACACATGACTATTTATCATTTTAAGGGGGCTGAACCCACTGCCTTAAAAACCTGCTGCCTTTAAACTGGATATCTGCCTTCCTCCAAATTGTGGCTGTAAATTGTGACTGCACAGTCAGCTAGTATTATACTTGATTTTATTGTGAGTGCAAATAAAATTTGTAAGTCCATCAAGTATTGACTTAACTAGGTAAATGTAAACCGATTTCAAATTTGTTTTTGGCCAAGTCTATTTAATAGCTTTAATTTGAAAATGAAGTACATCAATATGGATGTGAGCATTGTTTTGAATTTTTATGAGATATTTATTTTCTTCACATTAGGAACCAATAATCATTATTCAAAATGTTTATTTTCATCCTGATGATGCTGGGCAAGTTTCTTAACCTGAGTGTTTAGTGATTACTACCTGATATATTTGTGAAGAATAAACCAGATAATTTATGTAACTCACCTGAATAGTGCCTAGTAGCCAAGTATGAAGTAAATAATAAATTGTAGCTATTATTAATATATATATAATATAGTAACATAATTTTTAATTTTTTCGGGGTTCAGTATCAGGAATTGAACCTAGGGACACTCAGTCTCTAGCTCTTTTTAGTTTTTATTTTGAAACAGGGTCTTGTGGCCTTGATAAGTTGCTGAGGCTGGCTTTGAATTTGTAATCCTCCCACCTTAGTTTCCTGAGCCACTGGGATTACAGGGGTGCAACAACAAGCTCAACATAATTTTGAATTTTGGTATCAAATTTTGTTGCACCATTTATTTTTTTGTTATTACACCATTAAAATGGCAAAATTAAATGTTATATTAGATCTTATGAACATAACCCAGACTATAGCAAATGAAAAAAAAAAAAAAAGCTTTTTGCATTTCTGTCATGGAGAATATTAAAATAAACAAGTATAATGAACTATCAATATACTTATCAACAAGGCCTAACACCTCGGTCAATCTGTCCCACCCTCATACTGTTTTAAAACAAAGATATGTAACAGAGATTATATCCACAAATATTTTGGTACTTACCTCAAATGGTAAAATTTCATTTTTAGAAGCAAATGTCTCTATCCCACACACTAATCCTTAATCATATAACCAAGTTTCTAGGAAATTATTTTTAATAGCAGCATGGGAATGCATAAGAAGTTGAGAGAAATATAATGTAGAGAAGGTTACTTTAAATGTCAAAAGATTTGTTTCAAGAATAGTAGATGTGTAGGTACATATGTTTAGAGGTACAAATATTAAATGATCAAGTGGAAAGGTAGAGGTCAGGTTTCATATCCCAAGTACCTAATGTTTTCCAGTGGACATTGGAAGATAAATGAATATATTTATTGAGAGAAAAATAGAGTTGATAAATATTGTGAAACTGCCAAGTGACTAATAAGTTTTAGCAGAAGGGGTTAAGTTTTAGAAATATGATCAGCTAAATATACTTAAAAAAGAAGAAGAAAAAGAAAACCTGGCAAGCAGGAGAGAAAAACAGGTGGTAACATTTGCACCAGATTTTAATAGAGATGATTAAATAAGTGAAGACAGTTTAGCTGAAAACCTAAGGTGAAGTAAAAATAAGGACCATCCAATCAAAAACTCCAATATATCCAAAAGGGGATCAGTGGAGGATAATTTAGGATAAATTTATTACAGTCATTTAATCAGTTTAAAAAGAAACCCTGAACCACATGGCTGACTAGAGATGCTAGAAATGCATAAAATTAGAAGAGTTGTACTACAACTACACTACAGGTCAAGTATGAGCTGCAGAGCTGTGGCTCCCAAACCAATGTTTTGTTTATAAGAACACCCAACCGAAGGTGCAGAACATTTGGATACTTTGGCACAACCTAATACTGAGGAGATTACTGGTCTGGCCTGATGATGACATCCTTGGGAGTGTTGGGATGTGATCACCTCATTTTGTGGTGGAGAGATCTGGTTAATGTTCTTTCCATTGCTAGGAAAGCAGTTGAGTAATAAATGGTAACAAATATCATGTCAAGAAATTGCTGCTTTATCATTTTCAAAGCACTTTCCCCCTCCTTTGAGGGAGATCTTTTGAGATGGAAAGATTTTTCATTTTGCAAGTGAAACCAATGCTTAAATGACAACTTAAAGGTTATGCAACAGTCATGCACTGGAACCTGGGCCTCTTGAGTGTCTAGTTTTTTTCCACTATACATAGTGCTTTATGAAACCTAGAGGATAGAACTGAATGTACTTCACTTTGTTGGATAAATTAAGACTTTAGTGAACCCTACTAAATTATTTATACACAGTTGTTTTATTCAGCATAAAATTTAAATGCTCCCAAAATGTTTAATAGGTCTAATTTGTAAAATCCATGAAAGGATTTTGGATTAAGTGGGTTTTCTTAAGACCTAATTGGTTTCCAATATAAAACTATAATATCTTTCAAGGAAACTGGGATTTGTTTTCTATCTCAGAACAAACTTTCCTTATGTACTGTCCTATGAAAATTGATCATAAATGAATGAACTTACTAAAAAAATTCATTGTTTTTTTTAATATTTATTTTTTAGTTTTCGGTGGACACAACATCTTTATTTTTATGTGGTGCTGAGGGTCGAACCCAG